ACCTCCTTCAGCTCTGTCCTAAAGATGTGCTGGAGTTGGTCAGGCAAGGCATCGAGCGCTGGCAAGGCATGCGTATATTATCACATCACCAGGAGGTATGCTATGGGGATGAGGTATTATGGATGAGAGCAATGAGGAGATGCATTGGTGGAAAGAAGGCAGTGGTCAGGCACCCACGTTTCGCTGGCGCGCTGCGTGCACTGTGGTCCGACTCTATTTGGTCACGGTCTAGACTGGCTGCCAAAGGGTACCAGATCTCCCCTGCCTGCATCTACTGCGCAGCGGAGCAATCGACCATCGGACACGAGTTCTTTTGCTGCCCAAGTTTTTACGATGACCTGCCTGAGGAGCCCGCTCTCGACTGGGACACTGATATGCAGTACACATATGATATGTTAAGGGAGCTCGGACAGAAGGCCCTTGGAGAGCCCGACTGGGATTGTTTGGCCACGGCAGTAGGCATACCAGTGAGCCCCCTCATCCCACCGTATGTGGAATACAAGTTACAGCACGTATGCTGGGGTGACTGGGAGTCCGACAGAAGATCCTGGAGCTCATTGGTGTTCTCTGATGGTTCGGGGCTGGCCCCTGCGTGGCCTGAGATTCGTCGATGCGGGTGGTCATTCGTCGTCATGGGGGACAATGGGCTACCTGTACGTGCTGCATATGGGCCCCTTGAGGGTCCGATACAAACGGTCGGGAGGGCGGAGCGCATGGCTTTCCTCATGGCACTCAGGCTGCTACCTGCTGTGGACCTACTGGTGACAGATCTCCAGAGTCTTGCAGCAGAAGTGAACTCCTGGCACCACGACCAGGAAGATGCGAATTCGACGTACGCTGACATCTGGAGGCACATCTTTCATGCAGCCGACGACCAGCGTCGGCCCAGTGCTTGCTGGACGCCTGCGCATATCACGATCGAGAGTTACCTGGAGGTACATTTCGGCACCCTCCCGTTTGAATTTCTGCTTGGGAACATGTGGGCGGATTTCTTCGCCAGGGAGGGGGCCAACATGCACGCAGTGCACAAATCGACGGTCCAAATGTTCGAGGCCAGGCTGAGCCAAGAGAAGATGAATGCTAAGTTCTTCTCCTGGGCGGCGGCCAAGCTCATCACCAGGGACTCCACCAGCAGTAGACCCGAGAGGCTCAAGTTAGGGGGCCCTCCAATTCCTGCACAGCATGTAGGAATAAGAGTGCACGAGGTGGTCATCCGCAGCCCTGGGGTCTGGCAGTGCAAGAAATGTTTGGCCACGGCTAGGACCCCAGCCAGTTTGTTGAAACTCGTTGCGGGAACCAGTAATTATGCTAAGTGTGAGCCCACGGAGCAACAAAAGCTTCAGGCCCGAAATGATGTTGTATTGCAGCGCGCATTGCCTTACAGGAGTGAGGCGGTCAGCGTTGCCCTAGATCTGGCGCAGGCGCTCAGCCCACCCGATGACCCCGTCGTTCCTGGTCCGTCGGGGGCTCAGCAGCCTTGTGCAGACGACATAGTTGAGATAGATGGGCACCGAATTCTCTCGAATCTCGGCGCTATGGTTTGCACTTTGTGTGGGTCGTACCAGCTGAACGCTGGACGTGCGGGGCATTCTAGGCTTGGAGGTTGCTGTCTGGGCCCTTCTCAGCACCCCCCCACACTGTATAAGCAGAGGCATGCTATTAAGGCCATTAAGGCGGGTAAGAACCCCAAGAATGGCCAGCCTTTCAAAACTGTATGATGAGTTTTGGCCTGCTCTGTTTCCCGTTGCGTTTTCCCCTGGGAATCCACGGTAAACGAGCTGGGCCCATATGATGGCCCATGCTCCCGTAGTTGGTTGCATGACAGGTCATCCGAGGCGTCCTCCTCCTCCTGCTCTTCCTCTTCATCCTCCTCCTTCCTCCCCTCCTCCTCCTCCTTCTCCGCCTCCTCCTCGTCGTCATACCTGCCCTTCCAGCTCTCGTTCTTCCTCTTGGACAGCTTTTCGCTCCAGACCGCTGCCCCCGAGCCGCTTGGCCCTGGGCCGCTTCGCCCCTGACCGCTCCGCTCCGGACTGCTTCGCCGGCGAACCGCCCGCCCGACCAGCCCGTCAGCATCCGCCCGCCCGCTCGCTTGCTTGCTTGCACGACCCCGCCCGCCCGCTCCCAGTGTCCCGCCTGCACGACCCATCCGATGCTTGGTGTCCATCCGCCCGACCCGCCCGTCTTTGTCCGACTGGGGCGAGCCGTCCGCTGGCGCAGCGGTTCCGGGTAAGGCGGTCCCCGGCCGAGCGGTTCGGGCGAAGCGTCCCCGTGATTCCAGTGGTCGTACAGGGGTGCAGATGGGTGTGGTGCCAGTACTTTGACTTGCGATGCGATCCACGGTGCCCACAATTGCAACGCCTGCCGATTTCAATCACGCTGGTTCTGCAACGACCGTTTCAATCTAAGCGAACATGATTGATTCCGACTTCCCAGAACGACCGCCGTCAGTATTGAAAGGTGACAACAGATCTATTCGAGGACATCCGATCTTCAAACACGTGCTTCCAGAATATCGATTGCGACTGGAGGCATGCTGGAATACCCGTATCGATTCACTATCGTTCAACAGTTCAACAGTTCATTCCGGAATGTCCAGAATTTAGAAACGTAGTCCAGTTTTGCTGCCGCGCAATTCCACCACCGCGCTACCGCGCTCGGGCGGGCTGGGAGGGGCGCGCCGGCGGGGTGGGGGGGAGGGGGAGGGTCAATAGACCCTCCTTCGTCAGGCCTGTGCGCCTGGAAGGCCAAGACAATTTAGTGACCCGGCCACCAAAAGGAACGCAGTAGGTGTGCTCGATGCGTCGCGGGGGCCTCATAATTGTGGTCTCGCTGGAGGGGCGAAGGGGCCTGCCGGCACGAGGTGCTGCAAACGCGATGGCGGACGGTCTTCATGGCAAGCTCAGAGCGTGAATTACCTACCCCGCTTTCGCTTCCAGGCAAAACCAAGCCATACCACGCGCCTCCTCGTCAAGCGGCCTGACCAGTAGAGGCTGCAATTTGGCATCGTTTGGTATCTCTTGGAAGCGAGAGTGGTCAAAAGCGAGGTAGGTTTGTTTTCCCCCTAAAGCCAGGGTTCCGGGAACAAGCGAACGGCGTTGCAGAGACCGCATTTGCGGGCAAGGCTTGCGTCCATATCAATTGCAGCTTGGAGTTCCGGGCTCCCTCCCCCAGAAATCCTAGTCGCACTAGGAGGCTCGAGTTCTGTCCATATCCAGCGGGCCTCAGCCTTGCGGCGTCCCTTCCAAGAAAATCCAAGACGGACTGGATATGGATACAAATATTGCCCGTATCATTATCTACAGTCAACCCGTAATTTTCCAAGGCTAATCACCCTCGCATCTTTGGCCCTTCGGCCCATCCTTGGCCGCTTTCGCTGGCCGCGTCCTGCCCCGACATGGCCTTCTAAGGCCGTTGCATCCTAATCGTGCGTCCTTATTCTACGGGCTGACTGTAATGGCCTTCGGCCCATCCAGCCACCGTGTCTGTGTTGTGAGTCTGAGGCCTCGTGGATGTTCGCTGGGATCTCGTCAAGGCTTCTCGGGGGCCTCCTGGAGGCAGTTTTGAAGCTTCTGGGAGGATGTTTTTGGGGTCTCCCTTGGTCATTGTGGGGGCCTCTTGGGGTCCCGGGGGCCTCTTTGGGCCTCCCGAGCGCATCTTGGGGCGGACGGCTCGGATTTTCGGTCCTTGCTCCCCCCTCTTGGGCCCCATCTTAGGGGCTCTTTTGGGCGGTCATGGGCGCCTCTTGGGCCGTCTTGGATCTTGGGGGCTTCTTGGGACGTCTTGGAGCGTCGGAAGCTCGAAAAGTGGGAAACCCAAATATCATTGAAACATGGAGTGACAGTCAACGATTTTGGCCTCGCGGGTACCTCTGGGGAATGCTGGTGGGGCTCCGCTTGGGGCCCCTCGAAGCCTTCTTGGGGCCCTCTTGGGCGTCTTGGACCGATCATGCCACGAGTCGTGGTACCCTTCGGAGGTTAATAGACCTCTTACCCTGACACGTCGATTTCCGAATTGTCCGTTTTCGATTCTCAAGAGGGCGCCACGGCCGTCATTTTCCAGGTTTGCGCCCACCAGGTTTGGGCCCGAGGCCGTTTTCACTAAACCACGTTCTGCTAAAGGGGGTTATCCATCCCCGTACCTTTGGACTGTCTGGGCAGTCTCTCGGGGCCATGTTGGCCTGTCTTGGGGCCCTCTTGGGCCCCGAGAAGGCATGCGGGAACGCTCGGGTGAGCACAGATGGCATGCGGGGACCCCCAGGAGATTTTTGGCAAGTTGAGGATTGAGGCTCCAGGGGTTAAGTTTAAGTCGGGCCTGTCCCTCTACAGGGGAAACTATTCAAACATAGTAAAGCAAATAGTCTGGGGACGATTGTTCTACTATTTGGGGACATGTTTGTTTTGCGTGTTGACTATGTTTGATTGCTCTTTCACGATCCCCCTGTAGGAGGACATGCCCGACCTAAGGTTAAGTCACGGAGATCGACAGATCATTCCCCGAAGTTCGGGAAGTTGCACAAGCACATTCTCTAGTTCGAGCAGTGATCGACTTGCACTCTTGGAGCGCAATCATTTCGGTGGCCAATCCTCGCGTATTGAGCACGTGTGCGTTATATGCACAGGCTCGGTATCGGCAAAGACGTGACTGGTGACTGATGCGGGCGTCAGTGCGATGCGCAATACACAAGTCGGAGCGTATCGTTGATTACATCGCGATGCCGCGTGTTTTTACCCTGCTCATTCGCAACACATCCATCTGCGACTTCGACCGTGACGGAGGTCGTCGTCGGACGGTGGCATGGCGAGTTTGCGTGCTCAGGTTCTGCCCTGGGGGACAGAGAGAGAGAGGGAGATAGAGAGAGAAAAAAAGAAGAGAGAGAGCGAGAGCGATAAAAACAACAACAAAACACATAATAGACATATATACAAATGCCTATATATATGTACATGTGGAAACACGAGAAAAGACGGACGCGCCTTCTAGGCCTCGTTGAAGAGGCCCGCGTGACGCAGGCTACCTCCTGGGGCGGTCCATGGGGCGCGAGACTGATGCTCGCTTCGAGCGCGCTCCTGCGCTCGCGCCTCTTGGCGGGTCCTGGCGACGGCTCTGTCGGCGGCGATCCTCGCCTGCTGAGCAGCCGTCAGTTGGAGGGGGGGCTTGGAGGCGGAGCGGGAGGAGGGAAGGGGAGAGGGAACGAGAGGAGAAATCGCTTCAAGAGAGTGGCTGTTAGAGGACGCGACCAAATCAAAGTCCTCTGGCTCAGCGAATCAGGCCTGGGAAGAAGAAAGGGCGTTTTCCTCTATTGGACTCTGAAATGAAATGGTGCGGTTCTGGGTCCATTCGTTGGCACGACCTCTTGGGGTTCAATGTCAAATCAGGGGCAGGGGTGCAATTCTCGTCGCATTCGGGGGACGATGGCACAAAGAACTGCCTAAGCTCTTCTGTGACGTCGGCCCTGCCGAATTCGAACACAACATCTGCTTTAAATCTGCTGAAGCCGTCAGCTGCAACGCGCTGTCCAAGATGGATTCCGCAACGGCACGGCAGAGATGACTGGGACAAGTCTTCTCGGACTGCGCGTGCCAGAGTGACGGAGGAGGGAGGTCGGGGGAGTGGAGGAGGGAGTGGGAGAAGGGAGGAGGAGGAGGAGGAGAAGGGAGGAGGAGGAGGAGGAGGAGGAGGAGGTAGGAGGAGGAGGAGGAGGAGGAGGAGGAGGAGGAGGAAGAGGTAGGAGGAGGAGGAGGAGGGAGGAGGAGGCGGAGGAGGAGGAGGAGGAGGTAGGGGGGCGAGGGCAGGGGAGGGGCCGTGGCGTGATCGCCTGCCGCTCTTACCCTGCCTCTGGCGACGTCCTGCCGTCGGCGGGCCAATGGTACGCACAGAGGTTCGAGGGCGGCGAGGGCGTCGCCGCGGCTCGCCGAGCCCCCGGGACGAGGGCCGTTCGGTGGGATCGCGACGCGGAGAACGTCGGGGAACACCTCGACCTCGAGAAGTCCGTGCGGGCCTCCGAGTTGTTATGTTTATGTCATTGTCCGTTCCCCTAGAAAGGTGTTCGACAGTCTGTGTGACTGCGCATTCTGGTGTGCTTGATGCCTCCAGAGGCCCAGAGACGTCGAGGGACTCCTGGAGGCCGTTCGAGACCTCCGCGGGGGCGAGGGGTCCAGCATCGAGCCGGGTGTCACCCGAGCTGAACAAAGCCTCGACCCTGAATCGATCACCCGGTGATCGATTCAGGGTCGAAGCTTTGTTCAGCTCGTTCCTCGTTTGAGACCTCCTGGGGCGCCATCGTGGCCCCGGCCAGAGTCTACCCGAGAGTTTGGTCGGACCATTCCCCAGGACAGGTCCAGGGGGGATTTTGTGGGAGGAGGAGGAGGAGAAGGAGGAGGAGGAGGAGGAGGAGGAGGAGGAGGAGGAGGAGGAGCCGGAGGCGGAGGAACAGGAGGAGCAGCAGGAAGAGGACGAGAAGGGAGGAGGAGGAGGAGGAGGAGGAGGAGGAGGAGGAGGAGGAGGAGGAGCTCGAAAGGATGGTGTGCGGAAAGGGACGAGGGGCAGGAGCGGTCGGGGCAGGGAGCGGGCGAGGAGCGCGAGGAGGGGGCGGGGAAGCGGGAGGCGCCTCTCCCCACGCCCGGCAGAGCCCACCGAGACGGGAGCCAGGGGATTCAAGTCAAGAGAGGAAAAAACACACAGACACAATTAATCGTAGATTCCCAGAAAAAATATGGGAAAATATGGGAAGTTGGGGGGAAGACAGAAACCCAGAAAATATTAGGAACTATGGGGAATCTTTTTATTTGTGTATATTCATTTGTGTGTCCTGGGGCCCCTTCACCATCTCTCCGGGTGCGTGGTTCGGGAGCAGGGCGGCGGCGGCGCGGCGTTCGCGCCGCGGGGGGCGGGGGGGCAGCCTTCCTGGAGGGGCGCGGGGGCCACGGTTTTCCAGCAGTGGCGCAGCGTCCTTGCTCGCCTACAGTCCCACAAAGGGATCCTCTAAGAACCTTTTTATATTGGTTGATCCGAACATCGGGCTGGACGGAAGGGGGGGATAGGGAAAGGGGGGGGTACGAAATCTGCTGCATGCAGCTGGTTTCGGCCCCACCGAGGGGCCCATTCCTCGATTCATACATAGCCGCCTGCAGCGCCCGGAGGCGCCCCGAAAATCAGCTACGTGAGCTTCATTCTCAAACCCCCCTTTTGCTATCGCCCCCATTCGCCCGGCCCGAGAGCACATCGAATTCGTGTTCTGAGCACCTTGCTTTTGTTCTTCAGCATTTTTGGGCTCCTGAGGGCATGTCGCTGCAGGCCTGCGGGGATGCCGGGGCGGCCGGGCCCCGCTCGAGGCCCGGAGGGGAGAGATGCCCTCCACGGTCGACCCGTACGGCAAGCGCGAGCGGCTCTCCAGGGGAATCCTTCCCACCGTGTTCTGGGGAGGTCCGAATCTCAGAGGACGAAAAAGTACCCATACCTCTACCCCCTCGCTCGGTTAGCCCTTGTTGGGACTCCTGGGAGGCCCTCGTCGCTCGCCACCGCTGGACTCGCCTCGAAATCTTAGTCAGAGCGCACCCCGGGAGAGGTCCGGGGAGTAGCGGTATCGGTACCTTTTGGTTTCCCCAGAATCGCAGTGGAGGCCCATGCCAGGAAACACCTAGCTTGCCTCTGAGGTGCCCTGGGTTTCTTGGGTGTCGATGGTTCTGCAGCGGAAGGCGCGACGCTCCCACACCAGAAATCAGCGGACGCCCTGTGGTGCCAGGGTTGCGTTTCTTGTGGAAGGGTTCTTGTGGTCGGGCCCCTACCGTGCAAGTTCTGACTTTGTTGTTTGAAGCGGTCGAATGTGTGGCGGCGACTTCAACAACAGCCCCGAGGACGTCGGCACCGACTGGCTCCACAGTATTGGAGGCTTAGTCGCAGCGTCTCGGGCTACCACATGCAGGCAGACGCTTCCAGGTACCGTGATCGACTATTTTCTTGTTGGCGCGGCGATGCTGCCGCACATTCGCAGGCCCGAAGTTGTTGAGGCAGCAGATGCCAAGCCTCATTTGCCTGTGACGATGCCCGTTGCCATTCAGGAGTGCCCTGTCATGCTCAGGAGAATCCAGGAGGCGAAGGAGATGCCCACAACTGTCAAGGCAGGATGTTCAAGGTTCCCTTGCAACTGGAGTGTCGTCCGTGAGCAGATAGGCCACATCGAGTCAGATAATGATCTGGGCTCGGCGTGGCTTCAGGTGGTCAACACGATCGAGCTGGAGATAGCAGGTCGGCACGACATTGTTGGAGACCGCGTCCTGCGATATCTGACACCTCCGAGCGTCGACATGGAGCTAGCCGCGTTCAAGGGGACTCCTGAAGATCGTCGAGAGTCAGGGCACGGCTGTGTATATGCATGGCGAGTTGCTGCAAGATGGGCGCGACACATCCGTCGAATGTCCGAGTATATGGACACGCTCATTCATCTTATTTGCAATGTTGGTATCTCTGCTTCTGTCGAGAAGGAACAGTTCGCTACTCTCCATGAACAGCAACTCCGCGAGGGAATGCGTGGGCAGACTCGCAAGAAGCTCAAGCAAAGCCACGTCGAGAAGCTAGGCGTCCTCTGCTACGACCTGGACAACTTCTCTCGGCGGGTTCACAGTTCGTATGACGTACATCGCATGATGGATGACTCGGCTCGCGATTTTCTGCAGGCAGGGTGGACAGCATGGTTTCAAGACCCTGAATTAGATCGCAAGCTGGAGCAGATCACTGCTCAGGCGCAGCTGGTGCAGGATTTGTACTCGGGGCGCCGCAAAGAAGAGTGGCAGCAGTGGACCGAGGAGGCTTTCAAAAATGGTGGGCGTGATGCGCACCGTTTCACCCGACTTCGTGCCCTGCAGCAAGTTTTGCAAGCCTCGGACCACTCGACGCCAGCCCAGCTGGCCGACCACGAGCTGGAGAAGTGGCAGCAGATTTGGAGTCTCCATGGTTCTGGCGAGCTTCCGCGGCCTGCTGACGCAGAAGATTGGGAGCACCTGCCAGAGCTCACGGGGGCCCAGATTCGGGCCACCATCATGTCATTTGCCCGTCGCACAGGTCGTGGGCAGATGCGCATCCTTCCTCGGCACTTTGGTTTTGTATGCGACGAAGGGCTACAAGCTATGGCCGAGATGTTCATGGCCTGCGAGAAGCGGCTGGTCTGGCCGCAGGCCCGTTTGTTTACAGAGTTGTGTATGCTTCCGAAGCCGAGCGGAGGCACGCGACTCATTGTCCTCCTCAACACAATGTTGAGGATACGGGGCCGTGCTCGTCGAAATCTAAGCACGGCCTGGGAAAAAGCTCACAGACACCCCGCCTTGTGGGGAACGGGAGCTGGACGGTCTTCATCGGATTGTGCATTCCACCTGAACTTGCAGGCCGAATCAGCACACGCACGCAAGTTGCACGTCATAACTGTATTCCTGGACATGTTCAAGTGCTATGAGACCATATTATGGAGCATGATACTTCGTGAAGCTAGAGAACTAGGTTTCCCACTCAGATTGATCTGGACGGTGCTACAAACGTATCGGGCCCCACGGACAATTCGTGCATATGGTAATATTAGCTCGCTGTACGTGGCCCGTCAGGGCATTCTGGCTGGCTGTACACATGCTAGCACTATCCTTATGGTCGTCCTGCATCGTGTGGTCTCTAACCAGTACAATAGATATCCCGAGATCACGGCACGCGTGCTTATGGACGACTTCACCATGCAGTGGCAGGGGCCTGACCCCAGAGGAGTTGACATACTTCACACGTGCGTGCGCAACTTTGGTGGTGACGTGAGGGAGTCAGGCCTCATCCTCCAGAATTCGAAGTCGGGGTTCGTCGCTACCACGGTTCGTGCTCGCCATTGCTTTTCGTCGGGGGTCAAGTGCATGAAACTCAAGCCCAAGCACCACATGCGCAACTTAGGTCACGAGCTGCACGGGGTCAAAGCACGACGGGTTCAGGAGCAAGCACGCATGGCTAAGCTTAAGGAGAGGGTTGGCAAGATACGTACGTTGGAGCGTGCGGTGCATGAGCGACTAGGAGTGTTGTGGCGCACGGGGCTATTACCCGCAGTGGGGCACGGCACGGGCGTGAGCGGTACGTCGGACACTGTGCTCAAGCAGTTGCGCACATTTGCGGGCGGTATGATCGGAGCTGCCCGCAACGCATCACTT